TCTTAGGTGTTAATGGTTTATAGGGGTAAGAAGGTTTATTAAAAGCATTCTCTGGTGAAGGTTTAATATTATTGAAAGCATTCTCTGGTGAAGGTTTAATATGATTTTTTTGATCAATGATCGGAGCAGAACTTGTTGGTGCTAAGTGTCTTAGAGAAACTGTGGTTTCTCTACCCTCTGAATACTTTATGTCAACATATTGAGGATTAGCTTCTATGAGTTGCACTTCGTCTACCAGTGGTTTATACTTATTATAACGAAAATGTCTTTTCATTAGTTTTGGTTCAGGATGACTTAACCATGAAGGTAAAGTGCATCCTGAGGCTGTTTTACGAAGGTGCTTAAACATTGTTTTATGAGGTGCCTCCATTGTTTTAGTATTTACGAAGGATCTTATAGAATGGAGAACGTCTGGCAATACTTTTTCCTAAGCTTTGATGGGTAAATTGTTTTGTCTAGTAGCAATCTCAATAGACTTCATTATGGTTCCATTATACTTTTTGGCTTTTCCATACCCTTGTGGATTATATGCTGTAGTATGACTTGTCGCAATACCTGTTTCTAGTAAGTATTGTTTTAATTCTTTACTGATGAAGGCTGAACCTCTATCGAAATGGATGTAACTTGGCAAACTAAAAACCGAGTATACTTGTGACAAACACTTAGTTACAGTCTGAGCTGAAATATCAGGGCACTGGATTGCAAAAGGAAAACGAGAATACTCATCAATTATGGTTAAAATATACTTATTATTAGTTTCCGAAGGAAGGGGTCCTTTAAAATCTAAGTTCAAACGTTCCAGCGGTTGTGTCGCTTTTATCAAATTAGATTTTAGTGGTTTGTAGTATCTTGGCTTACATTTACAACATAGTTTGCACTGATTAGTTATTCGTTTAACATCATCCATTGAGAAAGGTAAATTACGTTTTTTAATAAAAGCATAAAACCTAGTTACTCCAGGATAACAGAGTGATTGATAAAGCTGAATTAAGTTGATAGTGTTTACTGCTGGGCAATGTATTCTAGAAAATGTGTCAGCTGGAATATTTAGTTTCCCTTCCCTGTAAACAATGTCATAATTGTAACAAGATAGTTCAATTTTCCATCGATAAATTTTATGATTTTTATTCTTTCATTTATGTTGCTTTTTGAAGATATAGGACACAGGTTGCTGATTGGTAATAAGTTTAAAATGGCGTCCAGTAAGGTAATGCTTCCAATGTCTGACTGCTTCTATTATTGCACAAGCTTCTTTCTCAATAGAGGGATGTTTAAGTTTAAATTTTTGAAGTAATCTTGAAAAGAAAGCTACAGGGCGGCTATTTTAATTAAGAACTGCAGCTGTAGCAATGTCAGATGCATCCGTTTCTACTTCAAATAGATTTTTTTGTCCACATAATCTGTCACAGCGTTTGCAATGTTTTGTTTAAATTGATTAAAATCATTTACACACTGATGATCTAATGGGTACTTGGTGTTTTTGGTAAGAAAAGCTTGTCGGAAATGTTTGGAATCCGTTTAGAGTAGTATGAGAATAGTCCGATGATACGCTTCATGGATTTAGCAACATGAAGAGGAGGCATTTCTTTCATAGCTTGAAGACGACTGGGATCTGGTTTGAGCTTTCCTTCTTCTATAAGATAACCAAGAATGCAAATTTTATTTTGGGAAAAGCTACATTTATCATGATTATAAGTAAGATTTATATTTTCAGCTGACTTGAGAAATTTTTCCAGATTAATATCATGCTCCTCTTGGGTTCTACCACTTATTGTCACATTATCTCAATAAGCATAAGTATCTAAAAGTCCTTCTTTTTCTATAAATTTGTTTATGGTACGTTAAAAACAAGCAACGCCAATTTTAATTCCAAAAGGCATTAGCTTAAATTGGAACAACCTCCTATTTGCTTCAAAAGCTTTAAATTTTCTATCATTTTTGGTAATTGGAATTTGATGGTAGACTGATTTCAAATCAACTGTACTAAATATTTTGTATTGAGAAATTTTGTTTACTGGATCATCAATTCTTGGTAATGGGTAAGCGTCTAGTTAAGTATAATTATTTATTGTTTGACTGTAGTCAAAAACTAATCTTAGAGCTCTTAGAGCGTTCTCCTTTAGCTACAACTACCTGAGCTCTCCAGGGAGAATTTGCATGTTCAATAATGTCCTCTATAAGCATACTTTGTACTTTCATTTCAATGAATAATTGGTCTTCTTTGCTATATCGACGAGATTTTGAAGCTATTGGGTTACAGTTAGGCGATAAATTACCAAATAAACTAGGTGGAGATACATTCAACTTTGACAAACCACAAGTTAATAGTGGGGGTCTTTTTCCTTCAAACTTAAGGGTTACAGCTTTGTGTCGTTTTTGAAAATCGAGACCCAGAATTACATCCATGCATAACTCATTTAAGATGTTAAGTTTCACTAGTTTATAACGCTCATTTTTTATTGAAATATTGACAAAAACTACTCCACAAATTGTACTAGATAATGATGATGAAGCCATAGATACCTGTTTTTGGTTTTGTCTATGAACTGTTAGGTTTAGTTTTTGTACCAATCAAGAGTGAATAAAACTATCGGTACTACCACTGTCAATGAGAGCATTTACAAATGAACCATTAACCAACATACCAATTGTTGGTATGCTAGTTAATGATTAAAGTTTTATGTTCAGAGTAGTCTAGTCAAGTGAGTGAAGGATTGTATGAGTTCAAAGGTTGATCAATAAGATTCATTCATTTTTTTTACATAACTTTTTAAGTTTTTAAAGATTTAAACAACTTTTAACTTTTTACATAACTTTTTTTTACATAACTTTTAACTTTTTAAAGATTTACATAACTTGGCAAAATGACCAACTTTCTCACATTTAAAACAAATCGACTCTCTAGCAGGACAGACAGCTTTAGCATGTCTTTGATTCTCACAGTTCCAGCAATTTGAAACAGAATTTGAGATAAATTGCTTTGGCTTTTTTGTTATTGCAGCTACTATTGAATCTGATGTATTATACTAGAGGTAATTTTCAGCATTTTTTTGCGCTGATTCCAAGGTTCTAGCTTTTAAAAATATTTTACCCAAACTGATTGTACTGTTTTTTAGTATTTGCTGTCTGACAACCTGTGAATTTATCCCTGTTAAAAATGCATCTCTAATATAATCATTGCAATATTCAATAGCAGACACCTGTTTAAAGTTACATTCTTTTGCGAAAACTTTAACAGCGTGTAAATACTCAAAAAACTACAAAACTTTCTCCTGGCTGTTGCTTACGATTTACCAAGAGGTGTCGTGCATAACCCTCATTTGATGGTTTGATGTACACAGATTGTAAAGCTTGTATTGCTGCTTCAGAATTTGGACATTTGCTTATTATTTCATAAACATCAGGCACAAAAAAAAGTCAAGATTTTTAACTTATTGAGTTCCTGAAAGAGTTCATCAAAATAATATTCAAATGTTCTGAGCCAATGTTTGAATAATTTTGTTGCAGAAGGTGAGTTTGGTAATGTATCTAAGCTAGAGGTCTTAGAGCTCTATCCATATTTTATTTTGATAAGAGTAGAAAATTAAAACACTTGTATAAAGAATAACAATATTTCAATTCTTTTAAGTTCTTATACTCTAAAATAAACAAAGCGAATAATCAAAACACAATTTATATATATATATATATATATATATATATATATATATATATATATATATATATATATATATATATATATATATATATATATATATATATATATATATTCTGACAGCTCAGATATACTGACAGCTTTATATACCTTGTTCATATTGTGAGAAATGGTCTAGCAGATAATACTGATATAAAAAAAGAGATAAAAAATCTCTATACTTGAACAAATATGCTAGTAAGGCGCTTTTACAGGTGTTCAAGCATAGTCAAAGTAAGTCTATTCCAGTCACATTGTATATGTATATAAAATGCTTCCCTATGGAACAGTTTTAGCACAAGAACATTAACACACCTACGATATTGCTATAACAAATGTTCAAAAATGTTTTTTGGATATAGAATATATTGTAGTCTGAATCAGATTTTTTTCAGAGTTAGAGCTCCCAACTTTTGAGACTATTTTATTTAACTATACGATCAAATTAAAGAAACAGCTTGTTGAGTGTGCCAAATGAAACCTCACTTTCGGTTTAATTAACAGAATATTACTTAACAGGACTGTCCAGAATATTAGTTAACAGGACTGTTCAAATGATGGATAATTTTAGATTTTTTTTTTTTTTTCTAATTTTTAGTTCACAATATTAGTCGTCACACAAAATTTATAAGTCGTAATACATAAACTTAAGTCGTAATACATTTATGACGTACTAACAATATAAAACTAGGTTTCCAAAAGAAGATCATAAGGCTCTTATCATCGGAACCTTAAAAATTAAAAATGTTTATTCGTAACATATATATATATATATATATATATATATATATATATATATATATATATATATATATATATATATATATATATATATATATACCCTCTAAAAAATAAAACGTTTATTTGACGTTGATTCAATGTTTCTCGTCATTATTGATTCCATGTTGATTTACTCTCCAAAATGTTAGCCACTTATCAACGTTGGTGCGGTGTTAACAAAAAAAGTTGTGAAAATGTTGCTTTTTCAACGTTTAATCAACAAACATCTTTTATGGTGATTCAACACTAATTTTTTAAAATTGATACCGCGAGAGCAATATTGAAACCGTTTTAATATATACATATAGATTAAAATATATATCAACAGATTATGCAATATGTATATAAATACTGCGTATAATCATATGTATTATATACGTAGATTCAAATACATATTATTTTATACATATACACAATATATTTTGTATATAGTTATGTAACATGTATATTTTATTAACATGTTGTAAATATAAAATTTACCAAAAACTGTATTGAAAATATAATAATGAAAGAAAGTAGGCTTTGCTTTAGTAAGAAAGTCTTTTATTGACTTTAACAAACAAATTTACATTTACACATTTAAACATTTTATTCAGTATTTGCAGCGTTGCTCATTTTTAAAACTTTTTGGTTGAGCCGTGTACCGGATTGCCTTAAAAATTCTGAAATGCCTGAATGACATTCGCTAATTTTTGCATCGTGATGCTGTCGTTAAATTGCATCTAAATCAAAAATGCAAACCAATTTTGATAAAAAAATCGAACTTCAGAAATTATTGAAAATAGTTACATCAATAAATGATTCACTGAGATAAACAAAGTATAAATCCTGTACAAAAAAATATTCTGAAAAAATGTATAAAACCGTTCTTACCTATTATCATATGATACAAGATGTATGTTTTAAAATTTGTTTTCAAAGAACCGCCAGAGACATTGAAACAGGCCCCAGCGTCCTCGCTTATGAACAGCTTCTCAATAGCAAAAGCCGATTTATATGGAGTATTACCTCCACAACGGCTAAGGGAATTCATCTAGTATCGAAAATGATAATATTTAGGAGTTCGCAAATTACGTCAAGCATTTTGGGAGGACAGTCCTTTTATTTCAATTCAAATGGGAAGAGGGGGAAAATAATTTGTGACGTCGCAGCCAATTTTAAAAACTGAATAAAATAAAATTATATACTTATTTTGCTACTTTTTAAAATACACAGCTAATTGTATATTTGAAATGTAATGATGTTTGATGCAAAGCATTGATTTAAAAATAACTATTTAACAAAAACACACACAAATTGAAGTGATGTGACAAGGAGAAGGGGTTTGACAATTTGTAACAAAAGAGGGAGAGGGTCTAAAAAGTTGTGTTGCTTGACGTTATTTGCAAATGAACCCATATGTTTAATACCAATTAATAATATAGCAAGAAAATGGAGATTGTTAACTTTTATTTCATAACAATTGTGTTGTAATATATAGCAACTCACCACTCTACCCTTGAAAACATTGCTAGCCTTGACTTTTTCTTCAAGTAAATCCACATTAGCTTTTGTTAAACATCTTTCGAAAATGGACTCTGTAGACGATATACTAGCGCTTGCTGTTGATGTAGATTGCTGTAGCAATAACTTATCCATCTACAAATGTAAGAAAACTTATTTTTTTACCATTTACAACAAAAGCACATCTAAATCCAAAAATTAAACATTGAATAGAATATCGAATTATACTATATGACTTCAAATTTAATCCAGTCTTGAATCCTTAAAAAACAATTATTTTTTAAACTAATTTTGTTTTTTTAAATATGTCACTGTATTAGAATAGAGTCTTAAAGTTCTATTTACCGCTTTCTCTCCATTATATTTCTAAATTAGTTCAGTATAGTAACCAATCATTGTCATAAAAAAATATTATATCTTACGCTGATATTTTACAGAATCAGGGTGGTCAGAAAATTTTCATGTTCATTTTCCTAGACATTTTGTGGCTATAAAAAACTCAAAGTTATACATGTATTATAATCCAAAAGTTTAAGGTGTGGATTTACAGAAAAAGCAGCAATAAAACTCGCATAAACTTGTCCTTAACTAACTTTTTTCTAACTTTTTTTCCAGGCTTCCAGCTTGCTGGCCACCCTGATTATGTTTACTCTTTATGTATGAAATTCTCTTGATTTAAACACATGAATTTTTCTCAAGTTGCTGAGTTAAGTCAGGTTTCTTATTCTATTCAAAACTTTGAAGATTTGTGGAAGCCCTATGTAATACTTGATATTAAATAAAAAACAGTAGTACGTTCTTATCTATCTTTGCCATCTAGGACAACACAACTAATTGAAAATCTTAAAAAAATATATGTAATGAAATGTTAAAAATATAAATATTTTGTAAAAAAGTGACCATGAAATCTTACCTAAATGGAAAAAATAAATAGAACCTAAACACATTGAAATTTGTATTCTTTAAAATTTAATTTACGCTAAGAAGATAAGTGTGTCTCTCTGCGATCCTCTGTATCTGAAACACAAGTTTTAGAGCCATTTTCGATTTAAATAGAATACACACACATATATTATATAATATATATATATATATATGCATATATATATATATATATATATATATATATATATATATATATATATATATATATATATATATATATATATATATATATATATATATATATATATATATATTATATAATATATGTGTGTGTATTAGCAAAGTAGCAAGCTTTTCAGTTGCTGAAAACAACATTGACTTTGCATAAGAAACCAATGTTTTCTTGGTAAACATTGGTTTCTTTTGCAAAGTCAATGTTGTTTTCAGCAACTGAAAAGCTTGCTACTTCACTTTGTATGTGTGGAGTTGTTAATGATTTTAAAACTTCTATAATTCAGTAAGAAAATAAACATGTTTATCTTAACAAAGCATTATTTTAATTTTACAAAAGTTGTTAACCTGCTATATTCATTTTTTTTTTGGAAATATTGTTTTCAAGTTAGCTAATGAATTTACATAACCAACATCTAAATTTGATGTTTCAACATAATCAGGAAAAAAATTTCTTACTGAATGAGGATTTAATGCCTTGCATTTTACCAAATCTACCAAAACCTTTTCTACTAAAATAACCTTTTGTCTTGAATGAAATAGGCTCTGTCTCGCAAATTTGATGTGATTTTATTATTCACAACTCTAACAGGGATTTCTTTACCGTTTCTTTCTTTAAGAAAAATATCTAATTTTTTTCTCTCATCTAGTTGTTTCACTATTTGGGCAACAGACTGATGTGACTTTTGCACCATTCTTTTAAGTCAACCCAAAAAGTTTTCAAAAGGAAAAGCTGACAGATGATCAAGACTCTGCCCAAATTTAATACAATCATCAGCTAAATGAATCATGCTATGAACATTATATGTCACAAAGGCCTCCCCATACAAAATTTGTACTTCTCTAACAAACCATATAAGTAATTGTTTAGCGTATGCCACCAACAACTCATTTTTTATCATTTTAATCGGAAAACAGTATGTGCATAGCAATTGAAAGAGAAATAAACAAGGCATAGTTAGTTTTATTTATTTTTCCTTTTAAAACAACAGGTCCAGCATAAAGTAGGAAGGATCGAAACTCTGTTGCTTTCCACTTCTCAAGTTCATTTAAAGAGCGTGGTCTGCGTTGAAAATTGGATGGTGTATAACTTCGCAAGTTCATGAGTTCATTTGAAATACTATCTTTAACAGATAGACTTATTCTAACAAATCTGGGACCTTTACACCAGTTAAATAAAAGTATTTTTACTACCCCAAGACATATAAGGTGCATATAGTCCAGTGGGAATCCAGTTACCATTGGAATATTTAATTGGACAAGTGGAGAGAGACTTTTAAGTTGGTGACCTTATTCTTTATATAAATTATTTTTAAAGGCTACATCGGTAAGAAAGAGAAGCATTTGTTTCCAATATTCTTACGCCCTGCATTTGTGTGCCAACTGCCACACATCTTTCACAGTTATGTTAGCCACTTTGCCCTATTATGCATTTAACAAATGCTCTTGCAGGCTCATCACAAACAATAGCTTTAATATTTACCTGCAGCTTTTCATATCCATTAGTTTGCAGTGCTTTCATTTCATAAACAAAATCTTTAAAGTAAATTACTTGGTTTTCCTTGACCATACCAAATTGCAACAGCATATGGTCCTTTTCTGTTAATTGTAATTACTATAGGCCCAATAGAAGTCTTTTTGCTATTGTATATAGGTGCACCATCAATACTAACAATTATATCAAGCTTTTCCTTTTTTCCAGATGTTAACATGTAATAATCAATTGCACTCTTAACTCCAAGATATTTTTATTCACCTCCACTAACATATAAAACATCAATTTTCGGAAGAGATTTTTGTAACGTCTGTCTGCATTTTGGTATAGATGGAGTAAATTTATTAAAGTGTTTTAAAAGTGCATTTAAAGCATTATCTTTTATACAGTATTTTAATGACCACTCGTATAAAAAATCTTTCGTTAAAGTTTGAGTATCAATACTACTGAATAAACTATTTGAAGCTGCAATGTCTTCAACATCACCATAACTTGATTCAGCTTTATTTAGACCAACTTCATTTTCAGGTGAAGTAATGGAAAGCATCGATGTATTGCTTTGCACATCTTCATAAACTACACCACTGTGTACACCTTCAGAAACTCCAGAAACCACTTGAACACCTGAATCTACATGCTCACAATTCTCTCTACCAACAATATTGCACTCTTCAAGAAGATACTTTATTCTTTTTTCAGTGTCTCGTTTTTCTTTCATAAACTTTCTCATGTACAGGCTTCTATCACGTTTTGGCATTATTATCTTTTCTTATCACCAAAAAAAAATTAAAATTCATAAACAGGAAAAACCATTTAAATTGCATTTGGTACTATATGAGTTAAATTTGCAGTCAGAATTTATCAGGCAAATAATTTTAGCTAAAAACATTGCTAATTTACTAATATTAAAAGTAATATTATTATAATCCTAATCAAATTGCTGCTAAATTGTGACTTTTGCATGGTAAGTTGTGAAAATATTTTCATAATGTTTAATTATCCTCAGCTACTTAAAAGAATATCCTAATTTCATCAAGATAATATTTTTTCAAGTTAAAATTCATTTCCTACCGTACTATAAAAAAAAATTTACCATTTTATTACCACAAACAACTTTATTTTATTTAAACAATCATTAAAAAAAGTGCCTGCAGAGCATGCTGTTCGCTCAGCAAATTGCTGTTGTATATAGCACGCTTAACATTCAATAAATTTGATTTTTTGTTAACAGTAATTCAACAAGTGTTTAGTGTTTAAGAGTAAACGTTGATTTGTTGTTGATAAAATTGCCGTTGAAAAAACATACATTTACAGTTGATCGCCGTTGATCGCTAATATCAACACGTAATTAACGTTGATCAACGTCAAATTAACGTTTCATTATTTAGAGGGTATATATATTTATATATTTAAATATATATATATATATATATATATATATATATATATATATATATATATATATATATATATATATATATATATATATATATATATATATATATATATATATATATATTTAAAAATATATATATGTATATATATATATATATATATATATATATATATATATATATATATACAAATACAAAATATATATATATACAAATACAAAATATATATATGTATATATATATATATATATATATATATATATATATATATATACATATATATATATATATATATATATATATATATATATATATATATATACATATATATATATATATATATATATATATATATATATATATATATATATATATATATATATATACATATACAAAATATATAAAATTTAACGTACCTATCATATGCAAAGATACAACACATTTTAATATATAATAAGTTGAAGATTTAACAAATACATTTTACATACATTTTTAATAGAGTTTTAGAATGTTTTCCATAGAGAAAATGAATTTTTTTAACTTAACTTTAATAACAGGAAGAGTATTAGAAGGATCAAAATTTGGTAATACTATTTTATTCTAAAGATGGGGTGCACAAAATGCAATACAAAACTGGTTGAACTTAGTTCTACAAAAAGGTTCAATTAAAAAACTATTATTTCTTAACGTGTATTTATTAATTGGTTTTAAAGAAAAAAGGTCCTTAAAAACAAATAAAGATAAATCGTCTTTCCATATAAAAGTAAAACATAAGACATTAAATATGTTCAGTTTATAAACATTTAGAACCTTCATATATTCAAAAAAATATTTTGAATGTGAAAAGCGATCCGCATAATTAACTACGCGGATCGCACGTTTCTGACGGCGATAAAGATGTTCTAATTTACTTTTATCCGTACTTCCCCAGGCGATGATTGCATAATTTATACAATTACGTATAAATAAATAATAGAGTTGGGTTAAATTTATTTTGTTTAGATAATTTCGGGCTTTGCATAAAATGCCAATATTTTTAGAAATTTTTGTGCTTATATGATTAACATGTTTTCTCCAAGTAATATTCACATCAAGGTAAACATCTAAGAATTTTATAACACTATCTCTTT